CCAAAACCGAGACTCCGAGGGACCAGGTGACAAGCCCAGCTCGCACGGACAGGAAGAATAACAGCGTCTGCTCTGAGCCAAGAGCTCTTCTGAGGAAATCCGGACCCAGGGATCAGAACCCCCCTGGCCAGGCTCCAGAGCCCACACCCTCTGGCATTTGAGTACTTACTGCTTCTCTGAAACATCTCTGGCCCCTGTCACTTGACACTTTGTATTTTCTGGGACAACCGGCACTAATTTCACAGTCCTCTCCATTGTTAGTCCATGGGTCCTGATCTGGGGTTCTGAAAATAGTCACCCGGTATAGCCTCGGAGACCCCCACAGGCCTCAGCAGGGCAAGAGAGGAGGGACTTCAGACCCGAGGTGACAGATAAGGATAATGAGGGGGTCCAGAGAGGCCCAGATGAGTTGCCCAGCCACCCTCCAGTCCTCGGCTCCTTCAGGGGACTCCCCAGGGCAGAGCCGGCACAGGGGCCTACCTCCTGGTGCCTGGGCCTGCTCTCTTCCCATTGTCATAGAAACATCCAGTAGGAACAGCAGAGCCTGGTAGACCCTTTGCCCAAGCTGGGCCGCGCCCCGCCCCCCGCCACCTACCTGCCTTCCTCCTGCCTCTCTGCTTATTAAACCTCTTACCTCCTTTGAAGTCGAGTGGGAATACGGCCCTCTCCTGCAGGATGACGTCCTCAGTCCACCCTCCGTCCTCCCCTGGGCCAGCTGCCTCCGGTCTCACCCCGTACAATCCATGTTCCACCTGGCCACCAGAGCAATCTGCCTCTTAAGGTAGCTCTAACCAGTGACCATGCTGCTCAGAACGCTCCAGCAACTCCCCAGCACCTACGAGGTCAAGTCCTGACTTAGCCAGACATTCGAGGCCTTTTATGTCTTGGCCCGCTCCTCCCTATCTGTCCAGCCTCAAATCCCATCCTGCCCTGTTTCTGCCGCCTTTCCATTTACATAGCATACTGGCCTCTCACACTCCCCGGAACGTAGACTGAACTGTCCTACCTCCACCCCTTTCATCCTGCTGGCCCTTTTCCCCACACCGCCTCTCTTTCAAACTCCTATTTATCCTCCAAGGCCCTGCTCAAATGTCCCCTCCACTACGAAGCTTTCCTAGATCACCCTCTCTAGAATTCTCTACTCTCTTCCCCATGCTCCAGTGCAATAGAGGAAGGACCGCCTGTGTGGATCCTCTTCCTAGGAAGGCTGAGGACTCCCAGATACACCCTACCCAAGCCCACGGAACGGATCCAGCCCACCCATCCAGGTAGCAGGCCCCCCAGGGACACAGCCCGGCTCAGCTCCCTGCAGCAGCTCTGTCTGATCACCCTTCCCCTGCAATATTCCCTGCATTCCCCCCACCCCACCCCCCGACCAAGCGATGGCACAGCGGAGCTGAAGTCCCCTGACTCCCAGTCTAGGCTGTTTTCCATTTCATGGGCTGCTGCTTCTCCTGTCCCCTTCCTTGTTCGCTAACATTTCAGAGAGAAATACTATTTTCAAAATTTGTAACTGAAAGGGATTGCCGGGGTGGGGAAGGTAGCTACATGGGCTCGCTGGGGTCACCAGGACTAAGCATTGCAGATCTCCTGGGGGACATTTTCCCCACAAACCTGGTGGCAGGCTTGGGGGCCTCCAGTGTTCCAGGGCCCTTGCCCAGCCCCCACTGAGATGTTGCCTTCTGGGAGGGTCCCCATCACAAAGATCCAGAGGCTCTTACCACCCATTGGAGATATGCCACCAAGCCAGGAACTGGGCTCCTCTGGGAAAAACTGGCGCAGGCAGACGTCAGAGGCTGCTCAGAACCAGGCTAGAAGCATCTGCAGCAGGTCAGCTAAGACCACAGAGGAGCTGGGTTCTGAAAGCCCCGAACTAATGTGGCCTGGAAATGTCTGTGACCTGTGGCCTCAGCTTGCAAAGGACAAACTTCAGTTCTCCTGCAGGGTCTTGGCAAGAGGTTTCAAAAGGTTTGCAGCCAAAAAAAAAAAAAGACTTTGCTGCCTTAGCAGATCAGCAAATACCACTTGTCCTCACAACATCCATGACAAGAGGCTCCTGGCACTGGGGGCAACCTTTACCACCAGGGACACAAAGGGAGGCCTGGGGGTAGGCCAGTGACGCCTGAACAGAGCCTGGGCCAAAAGCATGCCGTGGGGTCGCTCCCGAGTAGCCTCTGACCTGTGAGGAGCGCTCAGGTATAGTGGGAAGCCTCTTGCCGTGCCATATAGGTTCCAGAGAAACGGAGACTCGTGTCTCCCCTACCTGGGCAGCAGGGCCCCGGGCTGGGCTGAGTCCCGGGGCAGTCCTGGTAGCTTCATTCTTCATAGATGGCTCCTGCACACAGCGCCCAGAAAGCCACCGAGCACAGCTGTAGTGATGCACAAAGGTGCAGGATGCCCCCCACTTCGAGTGTGTCAGGGGAGCTGACAGGGGTCACTGCAAATGTAAATAGATTTATGTGACTAGCCCCCGCACTAGCTTAGAAAGTCAGAACCTGTCAAGCCAGTCCACTATGGGATGAAGCTGTGTGTTTTCCTCCAGAGAATAGCCAACAGTTCTCTCGTAAATATTAAACACAAAATATGGGACAGAGTCCCCAGGTCAGGACTGTGGGGTTCGGCACTTGCAAGTGATTCACTGGAATGTAAACTCCACGGCCTTCTCCGAGGCAAGGTGATGGATTGTGCTCACCCTGCGGCCTCCGAGCCTAGTGGGGTACCCAGCACACAGTAGGCACTCAGCAGGTGTCGTTCAAAGGATGAACGCGGTGCTCACCAGGCAACCTCTCTTCTGATCCTTATGGCCACCCCTGAGGTAGATTATCTCCATCCCCATTTTACAGACGAGGAAACGGAGGCTCAGATGTGTGGGGACTGGCCTGAGGCCGCAGACAGGGCATGGCACAGCCAACTCTGAGCTGGCTCCGCTAACTTCAAGGCCTACCAGACTTGAGTGAAGGAGGGGACGACATGGGGTGGGGAGCACATGGAGGGGAGCCCTGCAGCGGGGGCCCCAGCAGAACCAGGACTGGCCGCCCTCCCAAGGGGGGCAGAGGGAGCCGAGCAGAAAGAACCAGCCCGGGGCGCCTGGGTGACTCAGTCGGTTAAGCGAGTGCCTTCGGCTCAGGTCATGATCCTGGAGTCCCGGGATCGAGTTCCACATCGGGCTCCCTGCTCGGTGGGGAGTCTGCTTCTCCCTCTGACCCTCTTCCCTCTCGTGCTTTCTCTCATTCTCTCTCTCAAATAAATAAATAAAATCTTTAAAAAAAAAAAAAAAAGAACCAGCCCGAACTGCCAAAAAGACACACACACTTTAATCACTCTGGACAAGCAGGGCAGGGGCGGAGTCAGGCGAGGGGTGGCTAGATAGCACCAGCCTTCACGGCACTTGGTCAGGTCCTGCTGCCAGCCCCCAGCCACTTAGCCGTGAATCTGTCGGCTATGAGTGAGCACCAGAGACCACCGCCAGGGCCACCTCGGCCTGGCAGTCGGCATCAGCACCAATGGGTAGAGGCCATTTCCCCCCGGTGAGAGGTTCAGGCCCCCTGGGCTAGGGGGAGAAGGCCGGAGACCGCCAGGCTGCCCCACCCTGGGAGAGGGAGAAAGGACAGAAGGCCGGATGTCCCTTACTTGGCCTGAGTCTCGCCCAGTGCCTGTCTTGGCAACACGGCTCAGAGGAGGCTCCCCCGCCCCGACTGACCTGGAATGTGGCCCGCTTCAGTCCCCTAGACCTGCTGAGGGGTCCAAAGCCCGGCCCACGGCCCGGTGGCTTGTGTAAAAGCAGCATCAGGCTGGGCAGGAGCTTCCCACCGGGGCCTCATCAGCACCTTAACCAGGCCTGGAAAGCCAGGGACATGGGGCTGGCGAGAGGGGCCAAGGAGGGTCAGAGAGCACCTGGGGACAGATGTCAGTGTCTGACAGTGGCTGGGAGCCTGGGAGAATGGAGGCCCAGGCACTTGGGAGGGTGGGCTGACAGGGCAGGGAAGGGGATGTGTGAAGAGGGGAGGAGTCCTCGAAGGTTACCGTCCCGGGCGTGTGGGGAGCTGTGGGTCTGGGCTCCCTTCCCCAAGGGCCCTCTTCACCCCCAAGCCCCTGGATCCTCCCCTCATAGCACCTTTGCCCTGACCAAGGCCCTTCTGGGGTTTGCTTTAATGAAGGGCATTGGGCAGGAAGGAAAAGAATAGACAAGGATAAAGAATATGCCCACCTTGGGGATCTGCAGGTAAGGAGGGGCCGCCGTGCCTGAACGCCCAGACACAGACTTCCATGATGAGAGCCCCGGGCATTTATCTGGGTCTAGTTTCCTGATCCTGAGTCTCCCCACCCTGGCTGGACTGGGTGCTCACCAAAGGCAGGGCCTGCGTCTGATTCACCTCAGCTTCCCCAGAGCCTAAAACAGAGTGAGTGCTCAGAGAGCGTTTGATGAATGAATAAGTGAACTGTGGCTGCATAGGTGCACAAGAGAGTGACAGAGAAGGTGGAAGGAGCGAGAGGACATGGCAGGGGGCGGGGGGGAGTCCTGGAGGGATGAGAAAAGTGAAGGATGTTGGGAAGAGTCTAGAATGTTTGGAGGAGTCCAGAATGTTTAGAAAGTCTAAGAATGTTGCGAAAGTTCTAGAATCTAGTTACTTAAGTGGGGTCCATAGACCAGCAGCATCAGCATCAGCCAGGAACTTCTTAGATGTGCAGAACCCCGGGCCCAGTCCAGAACCAGAATCAGATTCTGCATGTTAGCCCCGTCCCCAGGTGGTTCACACCCACTTTCAAGTTTGACAGGTGCTGGTCTCAAAGGCTGGGAAAGTTCTAGAATATTTAGGTTAGAGGACTTCTTAAAGTATGTTTAAGAGAGGAGAGAGAGAGGAGTGATGGAGGGAAGGAAAGAAGAGGAAGCCCACCCAGAATGCCAGGTCCCGGGGGCCCACTTTACAGAGGGGCACACCGAGGCCCTGCAGGACCATCCCCCACCCAACCCCGGGGCCGGGGCCGCCCTGCTAGGGGCACTAATCGTCCTCGGGCTTGATGAGGTGGCCGCTGAAGGTGATGTAGGTGTCCACGTCGTCGCTGTAGACGGCGTTCTCCCGCTCGCGCTTGAAGAGGCGCACCCAGACGCGGTCCCCGGGCACCAGGGCCAGCATCACGCTCTGGCTCTGCATGATGCTGCGGTCGCTCGGCTGTGCGTACAGGATGACGGCCGCCTCCTCGTTGTGCACCACGTGCACGTACGTCTCCTTGAAGTTCCAGCTGTGTACGTTGAGGCTGAAGAAGTAGAGGCCGCGCAGCGGGGCAACGAAACAGCCAGAAGACAGGTCGAAGTGCCCGTCGGGGTTGACGAAGACGGTGTCGAACAGCAGCGGCTGGAAGCCCTCGCTGCTGTGGAGGGCCGTCTTGCGGCCCACGGAGAAGGCGGAGAAGCGCGTCTGGCACGGGCCGCCGGGGCTGCCTGCCTGCCCCTTGGCGCCCTTGGTGCCCTGCGGGCCGCGCTCCCCCCGGGGACCCTCCCGGCCCAGCTTCCCGGGTGTGCCCAGCAGGCCTCGGTCCCCTTTGTCACCTGTGGGGACAAGAAGGGGAAAGTCAGGGCAGGCACCTGGGCCTGCACCAAGGGAGTACCTGTCTGCGTTTGCAAAGGGCTCCACCCTGCCACGAGAAGGAAGGCCAGAGAAGATCCAGCATTTCCTGAGCACCTACTGCCTGCCGGGCATCATCTCCCTGAACGTCCCTCTGAAGAAGATACCATGACCATCTCCACTCACAGGAAGGTTCAGTGACTCACCCAGGGTGCTCAGGAGAAGCAGGAGAGGCAAGACTCGGGATGCTCTGTCTTCCACCCGCCCAGTTCCCTCCCCCTCCAGTGAAGGTGTGATAAAGTTCCCTGGGAAGTCAGGCCCAAACCCCAAGAGTCATTGCACCCAGCCTGACTCCAGCGGAGATGTGGGGTATGCAGGATGCACTTGGCATTCCTTTTTTTTTTTTTAATTTTTTATTTAAATTCAATTTAGTTAACATATAGTGTATTATTCGTTTCGGGGGAGAATTTAGTGATTCATCAGTTGCATATAACACTCAGTGCTCGTTACAGCACGTGCCCTCCTGAATGCCCATCACCCAATCACCCCATCCTCCCACCCCCTCCCCTCCAGCAACCCTCAATTTGTTTCTCTAGAGTGAAGAGTCTCTTGTGGTTTGCCTCCCTCCCTGTTTTCCTCTTATTTTATTTTTTCCTTCCCTTCTCCTATGTTCATCTGTTTTGTTCCTTAAGTTCCACATATGAGTGAAATCATATGGTATTTATCTTGCTCTGAGTGACTTATTTCATTCAGCATCATACCCTCTAGTTCCATCCACATCGTTGGAAATGGCAAGAGCTCATTCATTTTGACGGCTGGGTTGCACTTTGCGTTTCTGACCCAGAGAAGGAGCTAAGGAAAATACCTCTGCCTACCTGAAGGGAAAGGCCCTGGTTAGGAGCCAGGCAGCCCTTGGTTGGTATTATGTCCCACTGGGGCATTTCACGGTCAGGGTCTTGGTTATTTTCTCTCTATCTTGAAGAGGATCATGTCCACCTCACTGGGGTGGTCCCTGGGCTCTCAACAAAATGTCCTACGGGAGAGTGCTCTACAGACTGCAAATATGAAGCAGGAGGGTCCACCCAGTAACGCTCAACCCATTCCTGATTGCCCGGGGGTCTGGCAGCCTCTAACCTCATCCTTAGGCACACACGCCTCTCCCCAGCCTTTGTTCCAGGCTGACCTTGAACAGTGGAGGAGCAGGTGACCCCCTATGTCTTGAGACCCAAATGTCTTGATCCCAAACATTTCCCTGCTGCCTGTCACACTGCCTGAACTCCCACCATTAGCCACTCCCCTTTGAGAGATCTGCACGGCCCTGTGTTTTCCCAAGGTCTCCTGTGACCAGAGCAATATTGCTGGAAGGAGCAGAAAAGAAGGCGTAGACCCACAGAGGACAAGCCTGGAAAGAAGTGGGGAGAAGGGGGTCCACGGCTCTGCAGAGGTTTGGCCTCAATGGAGAAGGATCTCCTCATGTGCACCGCACTTTACAGTTTGCAGGGCATTTTTTTTTTTTTTTAAACAAGCATAACTTGACTTTATTGTGGTATGTCCATTCAGAGGACCTGGTCTGTTAGGATTTTGTCACAGGGGCTTCAAAACTAGGGATTTAAAGCAAATTAAGAAGAGCAATCTAATTTATGCATTCACTAGAAAGTGTCCATACTCTTGCTACAACCTTGAAAGAAACTGCCTCTCTGCCCCAGCCCAGTGGGAGGGGGGTGAAGGGTGGTCCTAGGAAGGGGTACCTTCTCCTTTTTACAAACGAGGCAGCAAGCCAGGGACGGAGAGACAAGTCTGAGCCACACAGCGAGGGAGCTGAGCAGCTAGGGCTGGGACCCAGGACTCCTGACACCAGCCAGGGGCCTCCTGCCACAGCCAAGTGTCCACCCACCCCAGCAGGCAGCGAAGTATGGCCCAGGGGTGTCCTTCTAAACCTGGGGTTTTAGGAAGACAGTGTGGAGAAAAGTACCTCCAGAGGCCAGGCAGCTCCTCAGCCTCAGGCAGGGGCTCTGCGGGCCTTGGGGAAGATGGGGTGCTCGAAGAAGGGAGGTGTCTCCCCCCATGAAACCTGAGGGCCGGAGGTCTCAGAAGCCAGCCAACCCCTGGCTGGAGGGTGGACTGGCCCCATGGAGACCTCAGGGACAGATCCTGGCTTCGCTCCTGACAGCTGTGTGCTCCTGGGAGAGCTCCTCCCCTCTTGGAGGCTCAGTTTCCCCCTCTGCCAAATGGGAGGAATGACCAAGTACTGACCTCTTGGGGTTGTTGGGAGCACAACCCCAGGTGAAGGGCGTCTAGGGCCTGGCCCCAGCTCCAGCTATTCACAGCGCCCAGCAGCAGAAGCCTCTTCCTGATTTTCGAGGACAGGGAGCCTGCTCTCACCTGGACAGCCCTAGTGGCATAGGTCTCCCTGCTTCCACCCTTGTCCCCTGCCAGCCATTCTCCACAAGACATTAGAGGGATCCATTGGCAACCTCCGTGGGATCAGGTCCCTCTGCTCAAACCCTCCCCTGCTCCCCATTCCCACTCAGGGAAACCCAAGTCTTACCCAGCCCCTGTGTCATCTCCAACTTCAGCTCCTCCCCTTGCCCCCTGCTCCTTAAACACACCAGGCCCACTCCTGCCCCAGGGCCTTTGCACCTGCTGCTCATGCTCCTTGGACTACTCTTCCCCAGATATCCACATGGCTTCTCCCTCACCTTCTCAGTGAACTGACACTGACGACCACCCCATTTAATATGCAACCTATCCCCCGCACCTACACTCCCGATGCCCCTTACCCTGCTCGACCTTGGCATTGCCATCCCATTTCTCACTATCGAACGTTCTGTCTCATTAACTTGGGCAATATATTTATTTCTCACTCTCTGTCTCTCCCACGAGAACAGCAGTCGGCACTTCTGTCTGGTTCGTTCACGCTCCGTCCTCAGAATTCAGAACAGTCCTGACACATAGTAGCTGCTCAATAAATGTATGAATGACAGAACGGGTCTGGGACAATTTTCTGTCTGGGTTTTTCCTGCTCCCTCCACCTCACCGGTCCCAGCCCAAGGAAAGGGCCCCATGCCTTCCCCATCCCCAGCCAGGCCAGTCTAGCCTGAGCCACGAGTGCGTACTTACCCTTCAGGATGGTGATGTTAATGTAGGGTCTGACCTCAGGCAGCAGGTATGGGAGGGCGGATGGAGAGGCCAAGGACACTGCTTCATCGGCAGGGGCCAGGGGGTCCTCAGAGTCACAGCACCGTTGACAGTACCCAGGGGAACCCGAGGCCACAGCTTCCCCAGAGGAGGGCTCCTCGGTGGGGACCCCAAACGCCAAGAGAGGGAGCAGGAGTGTTGCACAGAGGAGGCCCAGGGCAGCTATCCCCATGGTGACCTGGAGCAAGGAAGGAGGGGTGGAGATTCTACTTAAGGGAACATCCACACCGCGAAGATGCCCAGCATGGATGCTGCCACCAGAGCATCGGCACGCCTGACGTAACTAAGGGGCGGAGCGTTAGCGTCCCCATTTAACAGATGAGAAGCAATTTCTTCAAGGTCACGAAGAGACTTGTGGCCATGCCGGGCCCACAGGCTGAGTCCCTTGGAACCCAGTCTGCGGGGATTTCCAGCACACGTAGGCCTGGGAAGGAAACCCCTCTAAAGAGAGTCACAGCCGGGAACAGACGAGGGTCCCGGAAAGCCTTTGCTGGGGTGGGCGAGGAAGATGCTCCAGCCACCCACGTGTCCTAACCAATAAGACTGTGAAATGCTCCCCCCACCTCGCCCCGCCCACCTCCCTTTGGCATGGTTTCTTGCCACGGACCCCTCCATCTCCAGCAAGCACAGGCCACTGGCGCAACATGAGGTTAGTGGGCCCTTGGGACAAACGCAAATGATTCTGCAGGCTTGTTTTTCAGGTGAGGGGACAAGTGGCTGAGCCCATGGGCTGGCGTGTGAGCACCACGGTCCCGACGAAGATCTAGGAAAGTTCATTTATTCTAGCAGTTGGGAAGCAACATCCAGAGAAAATGCAAGGGGTTATGCACAGTGATGCTGTTACTGCATCTCTGAGAATTCAGGAGTAGGTATGCAGAACTGCAGACTGCAGACCACTACTAGCCTGCCTATACGGTGTCTATGTGCAAGGCAGAAGCAGGTACCTCTCTGCGCGGACAAATTAGAAACAAAAAAAGAAAAGAAGTCATTTTTGGAGGAATGTAACACTAAGGGTGTGTGGGTTGGTAAGGGTTGTTGTCAACCCACCTCCCCCTCAGCACCTTTGTGCAGTCAACAACCCACACAGCTCAACCTTACACAGAAGCCCCAAGGCTCTGGAGTTAATTCATTGGAAGATGGTTGTGTCAATCGTCATAGACCTACCAATCAGCTGCCAAGGGGGTAAATTGGAATTAAGGAGCAGGACTAGGAGGTCTGGAAAAATCGAAAGGATCGGAGAAGTCCAAGGGTTTATGAAGATGGGTCTTTGGCCCTGGCCAAGAGAGGTTCCAGAGTTCCAGGAGGGGGGCAGGAAGTGGCCAGGACAGCAGACACTGGGGACAGGCTGGGGCTGGGTGTGCAGGAAGCTGGGCAAAGAGCCTTTGAGGTGGTAGCAGTGTTTGGGGGCTGGCATGTTATCGCAGGATCAGAAACTCGGCTCTTGAAACCAGACTGGTTTTTACACTTCTGGCGTTTCTTTGTTTATTTCCTTTTTGTTCCTTTAACATTTAGTACAATTCAAAAATATTTTTTCTGTGGTTAATACATGTAAAGTTAAAATTATTATTTTTAAAAAAATGCTATTCTATCTCCACTGAGCACTGAGGTAAGGGATGGGTTTTAAAGGGCAGGAGCCACCCCCCCCCCACACACACACACACACTCCACTGTGCTGGGGGCTGGGTAGTAGCAGGGGGGCGGGCAGGCAGTCCCCAAAGATACCACCCTTCCCTTAGAGGTGACCATTCCCAAGCTCCACCCTGGTCTGCTTTCCTGGTTCTGCTCAATAAGGCAGATCAACTTCTCAGAGATTAACATCCTCTCTGTCCAAGATTATCACCCTCACCCTGTGTTTGTAAATGTCGCATCTCCGTGATTTTTGAGAAGAGCAAAAATCCCCTTTTTCCTGGCCATATATGTGACTTTATGGGAAAGGGTGAGGCCTTAGGGTTGGACGTAAGATCCATGATAGTTTACAAGCTGTGTGACCTCGGGCTAGTAGCTTAACCTCTCTGCGCCACCTCACTTCTCCTTGACACTTAGAAGGAGCTGAAACCACTGCCCACCTCCCAGGTTATTTGGGAGGCTCTGGATGCAGGGCAAGTGCCGGACTTGTAAGACTCTTAACACAAAGGACAGCAGAGGGAACAGTCAATAACATTGCAATAACACTGTACGGTGACTACACTTAACAGTGGCGAGCACTGAGTAATATATAGAATTGCCGAATGACTATGTTGCGTGCCTGAAACGAATATAACATTGTATGTCAATTACACTTCAATAATAAACAAATAAGATTAAAAAGTATTCCTTCCTGTGACGGACAAGGCCCCTTCCCAGTACCCGCACGGGCTGGGAAGAGCAGAATTTCGCCGGAGGACGAAGATGTTTCTGTTGGCAGAGGCCAGGTGGGAGTCAAAAGCTCTGAGACACAGAACTGTGACCTGGGGAGCGCAGGAAGCAGGAAGCAAAGCAGCCTTGAACAAGAGTAATAATAACCACAGCCATGATCATGGACTGGCCCTGGGGGCCGGGGCCAGGCAGGGATCGAGGGTGGGGGATGGTGCCATCTGGGGTGATTTGGGGGAGGGTCCCTGCTGCCTCCACTCAGGAACTGGGAGCTCTCTGGGGTGGGAGGGGACTGCTGAGCTGAGGTGGTGAGTGTCGGGGCAGGGGCAGGCACAGCTGAAAAAGCAGGGCAGCCCTTCACCAGGGGCTTAGGTCTCAGCCAGCAGGAGGGAAGGGGGGAAGGAGAGCTAGAGGGGCTGGCCAGGGTCAGAGGGGGAGAGCAGAACCCAGATGTGTCTAGGAAGAGAAGAGGGAAGAAGGGAATTCCGGGCTCTGACCCCAGCGCCTTGGGCCCTGCTGGGGGAAGTTACAGGACCTTTCATCACTCACCCTGTGTCCAGCGGCCTCCACCGTGGCTCACGGACCCCCGGCCTCTGGGCAGTCTCTGGCTCCTTGGCCCATGTCTGCTTGTTGCTGGCCCAGACCCCCAGGCTGAGCAGAAGAGGGAGGGAGAAAGGGAGGGAGAGAGGCGGAGGGAGGGCGGAGGGAGCGGGCTGAGCTGGCTTCCCACTTCCCCTCCTCCCTGCTCCCTCCCCTCTAGCCTCTGGGATCTGCGAGAGATAAAGGGAGCCAAGGGAGCTGGGGATTTCCTTTGCTTAACTCTTTGGTGGTCCGGTGGGGTCTGGTTTGAGTCAGAGACCCAACAGAGTCAGAGCAGGAAGGGGCCTGAGGCCCCTTGAGGTGCAGGCTAGAAAATCAAGGGAAGGGAAGGGGCAGGAGCCCCCCAAGTTGCTCAGGAAGGGGGAGGCAGTGCTAGAATCCGGGGTGAGGGGTGGGCTTGGCCTATTTGCTCTGCGTCACAGAGGCAGGATGCAGAGTGGAGAGGGCAAAGCTGCCCACTAGCTCCGGACTTGGGCCGATCCCTTGACCTCTCAGTCCCTAGGTGTCTGCAGAACTCCAGTCGCCAGCCCCCTTGTGCCAGGCACAGGGGAGGCTCAGCACATGTCGATGAGCAGGTATTACCCCCTCAGGTATCAGGTAAGGGCTGGGCAGCCAGGTCAACACCCCCCTCCCCAGTGGACGCGGAAGTCCCCCTCCTCTGCCTGGAAATCTCCCCTGATGGGTCCACACCCTGGGTCTTCTGGAGCCAACCCCTCTATGGAAATGAGCCCTAAGAAGGGTCCTGCTGGCAGGAGGGGCAGCCTGTGAAGTATGCCGCTGGACCTGGACGGGGTCCTGCCCAGCTTCCTTCCGTTGGGCTGTGGAGGTTTTCCAAAGCGGCAGCCCTGGGACTCTGGGGTCCGAGGCCCCCTATGCACAGACTGTCCCCAATGTCCTTCCCGCTCCAGCACCCTCTCCTTCCGCACTAGCTGAGTACTTACTGCCCGGGCCGGGTCCCATCTTTGCAGGGGATTTTGGTCCCTGAAGGGCGTTCCCATCCATTATTTCAACTAAGCCGACCACAGCCTTGCGCTTTCCCAGGGTCACAGCCCCACAGAAAGGTGGGGTCCCCACCCCACTAGAGTCCTACGAGCATGCCTGGCCACAGGGGGCAGGTAAAATCTGTCCCCTGGGAAGAGGAAGGTGGTGAGATCCCTTCTCCTTTTCCTCTGACTCTAGGCTTTCAAAGCCAAAGGGCTCAGAGGCAAATGTTGAGATCTGAGGGGGATGGATTTCAGGCTGGGGCTTCGGACACCGAACCCTAGTCCCCACTCAACTGGGCAAATGTGGAGGATAGAAAGGTCCCTGGCCTGCGTGTCTTTGACCACGTTGGGCCTCGGTTCTTCTAGCAGTTTTGGGGATAATCAAACAGCAGAACCTCAGGCCTGGAAGGACCCTGAGAGATGGCCTGACCCAATTACTTAATGTGACCAGCGCAGACTCTGTGACCTAGGATAGATCCCAGTCTTTGGCTCAAGGTCACAGCAGACAGGAGTCCAAGCTGGAATGAGAGTCAGACTCTCCCAGACTCGAGGTGTGGCTCTCACCTCCCAAGCCCACTTGGAGTCTTGCCCCCACCCCACACAGGCCTACTTAGAGGTCCCGGCGGGTCCCCCAAAAAGCAGATTGAAGTACTATGGCATTGAGAAAACACCAGGCCCACACTGGCCATACCCTCTACGTGGCCCTGCCCCAGGCAGCATTCCCAGGGCCCTGAGCCAGAGCTGCAGAGGGCGGGAGCCAAGGGGAGCCACCCTCCCCACCCTCCCCATGCTGCTACCCCTAGGAAAAGGGCTGAGTCAGCAGCACCAGAGGGGGCGACAGCTCCTGGCTGCCTCTGAGCCCTTTGGCTTTGAAAGCCTAGAGTCAGAGGAAAAGGAGAAGGGAAGGGAAGACAGATGGGGGTTGGGGAGCACAGCCTGGGGACACAGGAAGTTTATCCCACGCTGCACCAGCACTGTGCCCCGTGCCACACTCAACAGCCCCTCTGCCAAAGGCCGCTCATCCCATTTAACAGGTGAGGAGGCTGAGGCCAGGAGAGGGACTGGAATTGCCAGGTTCTAGGGCCAGCTCCTTTGGCTCCCAGCCAGGCCGATGCCCCAGAAAAGGGCCCCTTGTTCTCTTTGCCCAGAATAGCTGGCTGGAGGCGGGACGGACAAGAGAGCAAGACTCTGATATATTTTCTACTTCAATATTTTTCCTCTCACTCTCCCTCTGCCTAAAAATACATTCATTTGTGCCGCATCCCTTGGTCTCCCAGCCATTCGGAGGATCTCCCCGGCTGGCCAGATAGCTTGGAGACAGAGCTCCAACCTGGGGCAGACAAAACCGGGCTATGTCTCATCTCCAGCTCCTTCTAGCCGGGTGACCTTGGGCACGCTTCCTACTTCTGAGCCTTGGTGTCCCTGGGCCAGGGGGACATGAGGAGGCCAAGAGCACCTGAGCAGTCTGGTGGGACACCCAACAGGGGTACCCTCTACTGGTCACCCATCAGTGCTTCTCCATGGTTACATTCTGAATAGGCTAAGGGTATGAGCCCCTCCTCCTCATGCACACCTGAGTCAGAAGCCCTGGGACCCAGGAGACAGCACGTCCAGAGGAGAAGATGGCCCGGGATACCCCTCATCACTCTGCCATAACCCCCATCAGCAAGGGTACAACCCCAATGCAGAAAGCCAAAACCTCGGTCACCAAGACCAGAAACCCAGGGCAGAGCCGTGTCTGCCCCCACCCACCCCCTGCCTATTGTCCCTGCTCACAAAAGACAGCTTTTACTCCCTACCAGGCTCTGTTCTGAGGTTTTTACGTGAGTTAGTTCATCTAATCCCTCAACAATTCTCTGAGGTAGGCAGAAGTATTATCCCCATTTTACAGATGAGGAAAATGAGGCCCGGACTCAAAGACTCTCAGAACCAAGCTCCTAGCCACACCTAGGTTACAAACCAGGGTTGGGGAGAAGGTATAAAAATAGTGAGTCTGTGTTTACAAAGTGCCAGGACCCCTCATGTATTTAAAAAAATAAAACGCGTGCCTGTCAAAAAGTGAGATAGAAAACATGATTCCTGGAGTCCGCACTGCAAATTGTGAATGGCAAGTTACGGATCTAATTGCTCAGGGTCAGCCGCCAATTAAGAAACTAAACAGGGCGCCTGGGTGGCTCAGTTGGTTAAGAAACTAAACAAAGGAAGCCGCGAGCGCCACCTGCTGGGGAGAGCCATCGGGCCCGGCGGCTTGCGTGACCAATCCCCCCGGGCCCCCACTTCATTCCACCCGCGGCTTGTGATGCTCCCCACCCGTCCCATCCCCTTCTTCAGGAGCTAAGGGGGTAGGAGAGGGGTAGGAGAAGGACGAAGAGCCCACTGCGACGCGCTAGGGGCTGGATGGGGCGCCCATGCACTTTTTCCAAACCCCACTCCCCACAAAGTGGCCAGAGGGTCCAAGGGGACCCTCCCTCTCCCAAGCAGTTCGTCCCACTTCCTCCTGCGCGGAGAACCCCAGACCTGGTTCTACGGAGCCCTACCACTGACCAGCCGGGTTGTCCTGGGTGAACTTCCACCTCCAGACTGTTTCTCCACCCTGGGCTTTCAACAATCCATGTCTGATCCCAAGGGTGTTAATCCGAGTTGGGCAAGTTTAATTCCACTTTACAGAAGGGGAAACTGAATCCCCAAGAGGCCCAGGGAAGGAAAGAGCCAGCAGGTCTCGGGGCGTCTGCCCACCGCCCCCCACCCCGCCCCAGAAGAACCCTGTGAACTGTTAGAGGGGGAAACTGAGGCTAAAGGGAACAGGTGCAGCAACGGGCTCCCTCCCCACGGCCGACTAGTGGCAGAACCAGAATGATGAGGCCGCCAAGGCGCGTGGGGAGGCAGCAGCCAACCTCCCCGCTTCGCCGGGCAGAAGTAGGGGAGCGGCTCCCCGACCCCAGGCCCACCCGCTTCGGCCCGAGCACTGGGAAAAGACCGTTGCCGGCCGCGGGCACGCTCCTTTGGCTGCCAGCCAGGCTGATGCCCCGGAAAAGCACGGCCCAGGGCTCAGCCAAACCGGACCCCGCCGCGCGCACACTCGCGGCTCTGCTCTGGCCTAGGGGCCTCTACCCGGAAAGCCCAACCCGAGGCCGCAGCGAGGAGCCGCCGCGGCGCCAGGGAGGGGCCTCTGCGCGTCCGGCGCCGAGCGGAGTCCGGCACAGCAAGCAAGGCCGGACTTGGCCGAGCAGAGCCGAATCCTGCCAAGTGCTGCCGAGGACAACTGAGCAGAGCCGAGTCTGGCCGAGCCTGGCGGGGGCGGCCGAACATGGCCGAGTCTGACCGAGTGGAGCCGAGCGTGGCCGAAGAGAGCCGAGTCCGGCCGAGTGGAGCTGCGACCAGGCGGAGGTCTCGCGGCGCCCCCTGCCGGACACAGAGCGCAGCGTGGGCCCCGGCCGGAGCCAGTCTGGTACCTCCAGGTCCTGCGACAGTCCTGTGAGGTGAGGGTAGGAAGCCCATTTTATGGATGAAGAAACTGAGGCTCCAAGCGGTTCCGAGGCTAGGCCGGAGGCCCGCAGAGCTAAGAAGTGGTGGCGCTGGGGTTGGAGCCTGATTGCGTGGCTGACAGCTCAGCTGACTGCCCCCCACGTAAACAGGCATTGTGAGTTTGCTTCGTTGTCCCCGTGATTGCTGCTATTTTATGGCCAGAGAGCAGGAAGGACCTGCGCTGTCTGATGAGCGGAGGGAAGCCGGAGATCAGAGAGACAACCCCTCCTTACAGATGGAGAAACTAAGCAGGCTCCGGGCCGTGTTGACCAAATGCAGTGCAGGACTGGCCGATCGGTGTGCAAATACGACATTTGCTGGTAATTAAAGCAGATAGCAGGACCCCGGCGGCCACGTCCCACCCCTGGCCTCCCTTTCCCCACCTGTAACAAGCTGGCCACAGGGGACCTCGGCTCCTGGCTGCCTCCAGGCTGTGTTCCTGGGATGTGTGAACCAGGACTTGAGGTGTCTGGGACCCTGGAGATGCCAGGTGTGGCCCAGGCAATTTTTTTTTTTTTGAGAAGGTGCCCTCCACACACACACACGCACAAGTGTTTGCCCTTTGTTCACCCCTGTGCACACAGCAGCGTGGTCTGCCAGCCAGGCCTGTGCTGGGCTGCAGGGCTCACTGGAGGGTG